TAATTGGTCTGTGCACTGTGTACAGCAGCAGCAATATTCCGTTATAACATTATAATTGACTCGCTTGACTGTGACTCGCTTGACTGTTTGATTGCGCAATAGCAGTATTTTATTTACAAAGATAAAGAAGGGAAAAAACAGGGTTTTAGAATAGTGTCTTTATAACAGACTTCTCGTCTTTGCCTTCAGTTTGGGTACCTTCCACATCTTTACTTGAATTTGCTGTTAAAAAAAATATGAGACCATTTGGGAATAAAATGCTATTAATTAATGAGATCTTGATTATTTTGGTGGTTAACATACAATAATGAATTCAGGGTGTTTTCAGTCACTATCATCAGAAACTACGCCCACACTCTTATGGAGAACCCCTTGCAAGTATCCTGCTTTATGCTGCATAATATAACTCTGCAGACTGCTTTGACGAACGTCCTTCAAAAACTTTAAAATGCTCGGATCACTTTGTGAAATTAAAAACTATGGAACTGGAAGTCAAATATCATTTAATTTAAGACGAAATTGAAAATATAGCATATTATTATTATTTATATATATGTATATATATTATATATTTTGGCCGTATTGAACGGTTCAGGGAAAACAAACAATAAACAATTCAACGGAAATTAAAATATTTCCCAAAAAATATTTCCGAAGAAACATTTATGAAATGGAATTAATTTATTAAAAATAATAAGTGTAGGCTGGAATTGAAAATATCAATAGGCCTAGACCATAAAAAGGAGAAGCTTGGATCGAGAATCTTGAACATGCTCTATGCTGCAAAGACAAGATTGCTTTATCAGACATGGTACATTCACATGGAGACCAACTACAAAAAGAAAACGAGGAAGACCAACTGGAAACTATAGAAGGATGAGTCATGAATTTATGCACCCCTGGATTTGCCGAAATTGGAGTACGTGGCCAGGGACGATAGGCAAGCGTGGCGTCGACCGCATCTCCACCTGTGTAGGCTTAGATCTATACTATAAGGACAAGTAAGTTTCTGTCACAACTCGAAATAGTTTTGGTGTATTAGATCTATGTTCCTATTGTGGGAATTTTTCGTGTGTGGCCTCATCTCTACGCGTCTCTCACGTCTGTGATTTACACCTGTCAAACAAGTATATAACATTACGTACATAATATAGCATTATAGCCTTGGCCGCACATTATATTAGGCCCTAATTAATAATGGAGAGAAAACTGTAAGGCCTATGGATAGAATAGACAGCAATTTGGCAGGAGGGATGAGAAAAGGCATGTTTTACTAAGATCAACCTTAATGTGTACATAGCTTTCGAAGTGTGTTGAACGTTCTTGAACTACATCATTTTCAGAAATCGTACGATGCTTCATTGGAAATATCCGATAATCTATTTTTAGATGCAACTTAAATCGGGAAAGCTTTTTGAAAACCACAAGCACTCCAAAATATTACGAATAAAATTAAAAGAATTGCCAGTGTTAGTAGCTCCATAACCCGCACTCACTGAAAAAGAAATAATATTTTGTAGAATAGTTTACATCTAGATTCTAGATATAGCTAGGTCTACCTAATTAAATTTACGTTCCAGTTATTGTTGTGCCCGAGAGAAATAATGTTATTCACTTCCAATGATGTTCACTTCGGCATCACATCACTCTCGTGCTAAGAATAGGTCGTGGGCTTTCCGTCCGTTTCAAACACTTTCCGAGGAACAAGCCTGAAGTGAAAGCAGTGCTAAGGAATTAAAGCTTTTCCCATTCTTGCTTGTTCCGAATTTTATTTTGGTAAACCACGATGACGGAGTGTTTTTGAAATTTAATGTGTTTGGATGTTACGTAGCCTGTCTGAGCTGGTACGATGGGGTTAAATTTTTACTGCCGTGAGACTATCATCACTTTCAGTGAAAATTGAATATTAATAATAGGTTCATATCGTAACTATTATTATTATTAAAATTTGTGTTCATCTTAAGTCAATTGATGGAGATAGGGCGTTAAACCACTACCATTTCCATTCCACCATTTTTTTCAGTTGATGGAGGCTACATGTTCATATTATTCAGGTTCCCCAGACATGGTATTTTCTTGTTTTGTAATAGTTTAACAATGATCCTTTAAATGGTCCTTTTCCTTTTTTTGATCCTCTTTAAATTGTTACCTTCTGAATACTAACGTATACATCAGATCTGAAATGCATATACTTCAAGCAAAAAAAGGCAGAACATTATAGTGCTTCAAAAGACTCACAATCTCATAATATTGCAACACCTATATGATGGGTAGCCTAGTATCTTCATGCTTCAGGATTATATGGGCTGCATCTCCAATGATGGGGGAGGGGGG